TGGTAAGAAATGTTTAAGAAAAACTTTGAACTGTTCATAAATTCACCTTAGAGAGTGTGTCAAACGATTCGGATTTTCCAGTTGACTTCCCCGTTGTTATGTCGCTAGTTGAAGGGCTTGCTCAAAATCACACACGCACTTTTTTAGATTATAAATGGTTTTGAAATTGATATTGGTTTAAAACTTACGAGTTCCACTAAGATTACCTCGCCTCTTCACCCGTGGTTTCTAAATGCAGTCGTTTAAAGCTCTTTCATTAAATGATATTCAAAGCGAAATTTCAAAAAATGACTTTTTACAAAAGAACATATAAAAGTGAGAAGAGCATACACCATATACACACGCACACCGCTTTTAGAAAAAAAATTGATTAAATGTTGGCAAAGGCACAAATACACACATATATACATGCGTACGTACACACACGCACACACACACATACACACACACACACACACACACACATACACGCATCATAAGATGCTCACTACTTCATTTCATACTCATTTCCTATAGCCTAGACGATAGAAATGGCAACACCTACCAAAGTACTAATCATTGACTATGAAAATATGAAAAACTTTTCGACAATCTTTCACGTTAACAACCTATCATCGACCTTTCATGAGTAATGATTGCCCACTACATCGCCAACTAACCAAGCTAGCGCCAAAATAACATTTACTAAAAATTATATTGAGAATTACAGATACATTTAGTGATATGTAGACGTCTAAGGTCATCTCGACGACCAGGATCACTGAATACGATCCGCACTTCCAGAATATTACTGCAAGTTGATTGAAAACCGTTGGATAATGGTGCACTGAAGAAGTTGTACTCATGATAGTCGAACAACGTTTTGACTATAATTATTGCTGCTGCTCTAGGCAACTCTTCTAGCATTAGAATCTTTTCGTCGTAGTTATCCTCTTCAGAAGTCTTCGAACATTTCGCGAGCTACGCTAGCTGCTGCTTGAGGACTTCGTTATTTTTATGTATATCGCAGAATGCTTTTGGAGACAATTCTCGCTGTGATCTCGGAGACAGTTCTTGGCCAGAAATAATCAAAGTTGATCAACAACACAAGTCAAAAATGTGCCTTCAACCTGAACACATTTCTACCATCTTGTCAATCTCGACGCAAATGACTGATGTCTCTCAACTACGTCTTAGTCAGGAAGTGCTCCACTAAGCGGAAGAGGTGGTAGTCAGATGGAGACAAATTAGAACTGTACGGCGGACAATCCAACAACTCTCAGCCCAGTTCAGTCAACTTGCTATTTGCCAGTTTGACGATGTGCACCCTGGTGTTGTCTTAAAGCAAGATGGTGTTGCGGCGACGTCGAAGTGAGAGGATTTCAAGAGGAAGCTCAGAAAATTCTGCACAAAGCGGTACTGATTCGTTGCCTGAGAGATGGAAGAAATGTGCGCACATCTATGGTGAATATTTTAAATAGTGTTGTAAGCACTTTAATTAGTTCTTGTTAGTAAATTTGGTTTATTGCTCTAGTGCTAAATTATGTGAAGACGTAATAAACTTACTCGGAGGGTTTGGGTAGGGAGACAAACTTTGCTTTCTGGTGCATAAATGTCGACTGCGCTATTTTCCTTAGGATATATTCATATAAGAGTACGGAGAGGCTGCTAAAATCTCAGGGCCGAACTAGGCTGCCAAGATCGAAACGGACTAAAATGACGATCTGTACCTACAATGCAAGAACCCTTGCTCAACAATCCGCTGTAGAAGATCTGTTGATTCAAGCAAGAAGAATAAGGTACGATGTCATTGGCCTGGCTGAGACGAGAAGGCGCCATCCTTTTCACGCTGTCTATGACACCGGAGAAGAACTGTTCCTTGGAACATGCGATCGCAAAGGTGTCGGTGGCGTTGGCGTCCTCGTTAAATCGAATTTGACCGTGAACATTGATTCGTTCGAACAACTAACAACCCGCATCGGACGATTACGGTTGAAACGATGTGGTTCTATGCCAGCTTTGACCATCTTCGTTGCTTACGCACCAACATCAAGCTATGACGAAGACGAAGTCGAAGCGTTCTATATGGACCTCGAAAAATTCTTCAGAGAAGATCATACATTCTTCAAGGTCATTGTCGGAGATTTTAACGCAAAAATTGGACCTAGAAGAACGTCTGAAGAATGTCACATAGGGACCCACGGACTAGAATGGAATGAACAGGGTGAGAGGCTATCTGAGTTTATCATGACGACCCAAACCATCCATGGTAACTCGCAATTCCAAAAGCCTCTCTCCCAGCGATGGACGTGGGAGTCTCCCAATGGAGAGTACCATAACGAAATAGATCACATCATAGTAAATCGAAGGTTTTGCCTGACCGACGTCGCTGTTGTTCCCAAGTTCTACACGGGATCAGACCATCGCCTCCTTCGCGCAACGTTCCGATTTTCGAGGAGAGGAGAGAAAGCCGCTAAATACAAACAACGAAGTCCCAGAACTATTATAAACTGGGATGAATTCAAATCATTAGTCGGCTCTTGGGAAGATACCGTTGTCGACAACATCGACGAAGAATACGATCGACTCGTTGAATATCTTCACGTTGGCGCTAAAAAAGCCGAAAGTCCTAAGGTCACGAAGAGACGCTTGTCTCCGCAGACACTCGAGCTGATACGTCAACGTGGAATCGCACGAGCCGCAGGCAACCGAAACCTTACGTCCGAACTTGCGAAACGATGCAGAGAAGCGATAAAAGAAGACCTTAAAGAGAGAAGAGCAGCAGTTATGGCAGAAGCTGCAGAAGCTGGGAAGAGCATTCGCAAAGCCCAGCGAGGCTTCGCCAACTATAAGACCAAGATGATTGCACTCCGATACCCTGACGGGACACTTACAGCTTCCAGAAGGGCTATGGAGAAAATCATCCACCAGTACTACTCGGATCTCTTCGCTAGCCATGTTCTCTTACCGTCATATAAATTGAAAGAGGACGAATATGTCGTTCCACCGGTCCTTCCTTCCGAAATCCGACATGCTATATCGTCGGTGAAAAACAGAACAACACCCGGTCCAGACAGGATTAGACCAGAACACCTGAAGAACCTACCGCCAGTTCTCATCAACACCCTGGCTCGGCTCTTCACTCGCTACCTGTCAGAATGCAAGGTCCCTATTCAATGGAAAACCAGCAAGACCGTATTGTTGTTCAAAAAGGGAGACCTTCACGACATAGGCAATTATCGCCCAATCTGCTTGCTGTCCGTTGTCTATAAACTCTTTACTCGAGTCATCCTGAACAGGATTGACAGAACACTGGACGAAGGACAGCCATGCGAACAAGCAGGGTTCAGAAAAGGATTTAGTACCATGGACCACATCCACACGATCACAAGACTCATTGAAGTTTCGCGAGAGTACAAACAACCACTCTGTCTCACTTTTATCGATCTGAAGAAAGCCTTTGACTCAGTGGAAACAGAAGCGGTTATAGAGGCTCTGGATAACCAGGGCGTCCCTACTCGGTACATAATGATCCTTCGTGAGCTTTATAAAGATTTCACGACCAGAATATCTCCATTCTACAATAATATCACCATTGACGTAAGAAGAGGGGTTCGACAAGGCGATACAATATCGCCAAAACTATTCACTGCCACCCTACAAAACGTCATGCGAACATTAGAATGGGACGAAATGGGAGTGAAAATTGACGGTCGACAATTAAACCATCTTCGCTTTGCTGACGATATCGTTCTCATAACACCAAACATCAGCCAAGCGGAACGAATGTTGACTGATTTCGACAACGCCTGTGGAAAGATCGGTCTTCAACTGAATCTAACGAAAACAATGTTCATGAGGAACGGATGGGTTTCTAATGCCCCATTCACGCTCAACGGAACGACAATTTCCGAATGCTCCAGTTACATCTATCTAGGTCGTGAAATCAACATGATGAACGACCTAGCCCCAGAGTTGAGCAGGAGGAAACGAGCGGCTTGGGGAACGTTTAAGAGCATCGAAGATGTAGTGAAGAGGACAAAGAACATCCGACTCCGTGCCCACCTTTTCGACTCGACAATTATCCCTGCCCTAACGTATGCAGCAGAAACCTGGTCGCTACGTAAGCAGGATGAAAGATCACTTGCCGTTATCGAACGCGCAGTCGAAAGGTCGATGCTAGGAGTATCTCGTATTTCGCAAATGAGACAAAGGATCCGAACTTCCGACCTACGTCAACGATCGAAAATCAGAGACGCCGTTCTACACGCCAGGATATCGAAAATAAGGTGGGCCGGACACGTGATGCGCTTCAACGACAACCGATGGACGAGAGCCGTTACCGACTGGATTCCTCGGGACGTCAAGCGCTCTAAAGGAAGACCACTGACCCGTTGGTCCGATTTCTTCACGAAAGCGATGGAAGAAAGATATGATGCTCAGCGAATTCCTAGAGCAAGGAGGACCCACTGGGCTACTCTTGCACGCGATAGGGAAAAATGGAAGAGTTGCTGGTACCCGCTCGAGTCACTCGACGATCAACGGGACGACAGGTGATACAGGTGATACAGGTGAGACTATAAAGTAAGACTAGATGTTCCCTTAGGCTGGAAATGCTGATTGATCAGCGTGATGCCGTAAACCGATGTAGGGGCCAAATGTTCATTCAGTCAGATGTACCTTTGCGATGAAGTAACACTCATGGGACCCTCTCTAAGAAATGATCATTGCCGAAGGTTGTACTCTTTTTATTCTCATATACGCATTGTTTACTTGTGCGTACACTAGTAGATATTATTGCGTGTACTATTACTATTATCAAAAATTACTGATATTATTATTATCATTGTAAATAGTAGCAGGAGTAGTAGTAGTAGCACTGGCAAGCTCGTCTTAGTCCCTAGTACATCAATAATCAAATAAGACTTGTGATACTATATGGTATTGCAATATGAGCGATGAGGCAAAATAAAACACCTTCACACGAAATTACTAAGTAGAATGAGTGATGGCGCAGATGTGCCTCGGTGGAGTAGTGGTAGAGCGCGCGTCCGCGGTATGGATGGAGAACGGGTTCGATTCCCGCCTGAGGCCGTGTTTTTGCTCATCACTGAATTCCCTTAGGTATAAACGAAACGTCATGACACTGCCAATGCAATAAAAATGCTAGAAATTTCGAGCATTAGTTACTACAATGGCTGTCAGCTCAATTGGGTTTATAAGGCGAAATCGCATGCCCGACCAAACCTGTTAAAGGTTGGTGGCTGACAGCTGTCATAGAGATTTTGAAAGAATGAGTGGTGGTACGAATATAGCTCTGTGATGTAGTGGTAGAGCACATGTCCCGGTGTGGATAAAACGCGGGTTCGATTCCCGCTTGAGGCGTGGTTTTGCTCACCACTCGGTCCTCTTAGGTATTACTAAGCACTTTTAATAGTCTTATATCTAATGGCCGTTCATCATTTATCAGTCACAATTTTATTTTGAAGCCGCCCGAATGAAAACGACGGTTAACGCATTTTAACAAAAGCGCATTAGTACAGTTATGTGGAACTTAGTATTTGAGCTATTCGATTTTGCCAAGCATTTATCAGACTTCTAAATCATACTAAGAAATTTGCCACTGGCAATATTCGTCATTTTTATCTCCATTTTTCGAATCAACCTACATTGGCTCTGCATTTCTGGACAGTTTTTCTACGTAACATCTCTTACCTACACTGACCTACACTGTACACTGTCAGTGACAAACTTCAAACAATAAGAAATCTTTGGATTTAGTCGAAACTATAGAAGTAGACCAAAACGACTCACCCGAAGGCGTCCTGCCCTCAATCTCTTCACGACAAAGTGAGTACCGATAACTGCAGCCAATATGCCAACCGCCCATGCTATCAGTGTTTTTCGGGGTCTTGTACGAATATAGTTCCGGACGATCACATAGAGTGGCTCTTGGACTGGTTTAGGTTGAGAGTTAGCTTGATCCATGTGTTTCGAAAACTATCCCTTTACAACTCTTTTATACCCACATCATATCAATAAAATCACAAACAAAACACTACTTCAAAATATTTAGGCATTGATTGGAATAGAGTATGTCGGTCGTTCTCATTAACTGTTTACAATGAAGTTAAGCCTTTTTCAAGTAACTTAAGTGAAAATTACCGGAAATAACAGGGATTTTGACGAATTATGATCTATAGAATATCTTGTTGAGCTTTGAGCATGATATTCAACACCTAAAGCCAGCCATATCAGATTTCTGTGAAACCAAATGTCCTGGAAAAATACTACTACTCGAAATTTCTATTGTTTTTATTGCCTATTGCCCTTTTCGCAGTTTTATGACATTTCATATAAACCTAAGAGGACTGAGGAGTGGTGAGCAAAAATAGGACCTCAAACGGAAGTCGAGCCTGCGTTTCATTCATAACGGTATGTTCGACTCCCGTCTGCCTTATTTTGCTCACCACTTAGTCATCTTAGGTATAAATGAGTACTACTGTTTTTCACACTAGTACTTGCCGTCCATCAAGTCGATCTATATTGAAACAATTGAAGGTGTACGAAATTCCTAGGTGTTTAAATGATGTTGATCAGAGTTCTACTCCAATCAAAGAAAGAAATTCAGAAAATTATTTCATATCAAAGGGGAAAAATTTATGTCATAGTATCAAAACCTGCTTTCGCTTATTCATATAGCCCTGCCAAATTCACATTTTTCTTGATGAGTAGGCACAAAATACTAATCACATTGTTTATTCGCAGTGGCTGAAATTTTGACGGTATTGACTTTTTCTAACGATGCAAAGGTCAGATTAATACGCAATCAGCTCATTCAAAAACATTCATAACCACTAAGCAGAAAATGCAGCACATCCTAACAGTATTTTTCATCCTCCAACTCATGCATACGCTTCATTCGTATAGTAACAATTTCCTTCACGATGTTCACCGTTTTCTTTGAAAAACCTTCCAGTTATTTGATGTATACTAGCAGCACGGGTTATACATGGGCGACGAATGCGCCTGACGATTACGAAATGATCCTAGGACACGACGCAGTGTCGCACTGATCACAAAAGATTCTTCCGAGAGTTCCATTTTTGGATCTTTGAAATTTTCTCAAAAATATCGGTTTTGAGCATAGATGCTACAGACTTTGCACGAGCATAGTGACTTCCACTTCAACGTCTTCTCCGTTGTCCCTTGATGTGCTATTGAAGTGTTCTGTTCCACTTAGTTTTTTTTTCGCTCCACCTCTTTCACAATGATCTGTGAGAATCTCAACGCTGACATCTAAACATTTTTTCACACCGGCCATTCGCAAAGGTCTGCCAACATTTGCGCGATATTCTGGCCACTGCCTGAGGTTTTCCTTTTGTCTTGACTGCCGATGAGTCTTGATGTAGTCGATTCTCGCTGGGATGGTGAGATAACTGGACTTTAGCGTTTCTACTTATAGTGTAGAGATTGAGCACTCTAAGGAGATGGAAGGTTTGCTGGGCATTCTCCCCAATTAGGTGCTCTTTGCTACGGATGCAAAATTCTCTACCCATCTCGTGAATGTGCTTGTCCTTGTTTGTCTTACAAAAAATCACGTAAATGGTGGCTATACTCATGTAACCTCCCTCAAATTGTATAATTCTGCGTTCTGCACAGACGTTCGGCCGATATATTTTGTATCTATATTGCTTTTCAAAGTACCACCTCGTGATATATGCAGTTCCGCATAGGCTGACTTCAATGATGAAAAATCAAAGATCAGTGCCTAAGAGAATTGATGGGTATGCAAAAAGTCGACTTCAGACTGGAGTCAAACCTGCGTTTCATTAGACCGCGGCCCGTGCTACCACTGCAGCACCAAACCAACCACTTATCCACCACTATTCTTTAAAATATATCTATCATAGTTATCAGCTACCAATATTCAACAGATTTGAACAATATCGCGATCTTGAAGAATGAGTGGTGGTAAGCGGTGGTTCTCGTTAGTGTAGTGGTAGCAGGGCGCCGGTAAGGGTGAAACGCGAGTTCAGCTCCCGCCAGCGGTTGGATCTTTGCCTACCACTCAGCTTTTAGGTATACTTAAAATATCATAGTGCTGTGAAAAAGCAGTAAGATCATGAAATTTTTTGGTTATCAAAGCCCAGTCTTTTTTGGTTCTCTCGAGTACTTTTTGTGCGTTTGAGCCGTTTGATCAACAATTCAAAGCATTTGCCAATGTCCTCTTATGAAAGCAGATGAAGAAATAATCATCTGTAACTCTAAAGTAGAGCAATGGCCGAAGATGTATGCAAGGGCTTCCATAAACATAGGGATTTTAGAATTTCGGCCAGCGGTGTCGCCATCGCCAAACCTCACATTCGTGCAAAACGGTTCCCGGACCACTAAAAGTTGATCAATTGAGGTACTCCTCAAACGTGTCATGAGGTGGTGAAATCACAAACGGCATATGCTTATAACTCTTCCGTGTAACGTGAGAAGTTTGCAGATAGCTTGCGATGGGAGTCATTTGACACGTTTATATGAAGGGCGGTAACGTCGAAGGATCCGAGCACGTAGGTGCTGTTGAGAAGCGCGTTATGCGTTCTAACAACGGGGAGCCAACTAGGGTTCAAAACCACTATATTCTATCCGCTGATCCGTGTAGAAGTAATGATGGCCTATCCTTAGGTAATTATGGCGTGATAGACGCGAAATCGCACTAATTCATTGATTATGGTGATTAACTATAATAACTATAATACGGGCCATTTTTTCAACAGATCCTTTCATTACTATTTGAGCCAACTTGTCATGTGGTCTGGTAAGGGCTCTTGTACAGCCTGATACACGTGTTTCGTCCTTACAGACTCGTCAGTCGGGCAGAACCCGTCGTCTTTCGATATTTCTCGATATTTTTCGAAAGACGACGGGTTCTGCTCGACTGACGAGTCTGTAAGGACGAAACACGTGTATCGGGCTGTACAAGAGCCCTTACCAGACCACATTACAAGTTGGCTCAAATAATAATGAAAGGATCTATTGAATTTTGAGCGTGATCTTAATAAAGCACTCGAAATAAAGGTATAATACGGCCCATGTTGGTAAATCAACTTTACGTGCTTTTTTTGGTCAGGCGATGAGAAATCACCTTCAAAAGTTTTTCGGCTTTCTTATTCTCTAGTTTGTGAGAAATTATTGAAAACTTTCCACCTATATCACCAACCGGTATTCTAACACAACTACAACATTACTCAGATGCGAGTACTGTAGCCTCAAGTAGGTTCCAAAACTTAAGTTACTCTTCGTAGAATTCACGTTTAGTCCACTCCATAATGACATGGTTAACTTTTTCTTGAGTTTCTTGTTGTAATCTGCAGATCACAGCGTGGCAAAACGGTCTGGAAAACACAAGGGACCTAGAAAAAGAAAGTAACGGAGATCGCATACTGAAATTTGTACGCATTGTCGCCAAGAGGTCAATCTTTTTGCAAGCTGCATTTAGTGCGGCTTTTGTTTCTTTGCTTATATCTTTTCTTCCCTTCAGTTTTGTTTTTTTGCTTATAAGCTGGTTTACCACAAATGTTTATAGGTGATATTGGACGAGGTGGAACTTTCGCAAACAAGCGACTTGGTGGTGACAACGGAGTTAGAGAGAAACACAACAGTTTTGCTGCGAGGTATCACATTTAGCATAATATTTTAGTCTAGTCTACGGCCTCGTCAGTGTTTTAAGGCGAAAATGTTTTTTTAATACACTTGAAGACTTAGTACTAGTTTCAAGAAGAAGGGCACCTAAATATTTCATTTTGGCTAGAGAGTATGAGCATCTGGTATTTGGTATCTTTTACGGTGCGCCATTTCTTTTCTCAGTTTTGATAACAACGCTATCTAAAACTGCAATGGCGCAGTGGTCAAGGGTCATCTGCAACACACGCGTCATGAATCAGTCGATCGTCGAACGTTCAATCCTGTGCTTGAGGCTCATCAAGCCTTCCATCATTACGAGATCGGTGAATTGGTACCAGCCTTGACTGAGTAGTTAGCATCACTGATTGACACATCGTTAGGCAACCGCGAGTTACTGTAAAGCCAGATATGCATTCAATACCCTGAAACGATGCCAGATGAGGAAGAATGCATGGACATCCTTCAGGGGTTGATTAACGTCAAGCCCTTCATCTCATTGCCATGCAATTCCAACTCAGCTGCAATCACTATAACTATCTCTTTCCACCTCTAACTAGACATGCAGTGATCTCACTCGCATTACTTGGCATGTTCTATTCACATAGTCGTGGGGCATCGGACCTAATCATTTGGTGTTTTCTAATGTTCTGACCGTTGCGTCGGATAGAGTTCACTGCTTCTTTGAGGTTGCTTTGCGATGAACTATGAGA